GAAAATAATTCATATTCTTTTTCAGTTTATACTATTTAAAATTACAAGTACTATTTTTTATACTACATGATTTATACCACTTTTTTAAGATTATTTACTTTATGCCTCCCTTTACAAGTTCTTTTTCGCTTATTTTAGTAATTATTCCCATTTAATCGCTTCTGAATATTACTTCTTGTTAAATATAGTTAACCAGCTTTGTAGTGACAAGTGAAATATGAGGAAGGAGAAGGGGCGGAGAGGAGGGGAAGGGAGGAAGGGAGAGGGATAAACCAAAGTTCCAGCGGATCTAAAGTCCTTCACAACCCCCTTCAATGGCAAATTGGGATGCTACAGATTCAGTTCTCATCTATCGTTTGCTTTTAGGTCTGTCCTGAAATAAAAAGCGCATCCTGAGACGTTTGAAAATTAATAGAACGTAAATTACTCTAAGGTAAAGCTTCTGAGAAACAAATCTTTTGAAACAAAATTTGTCAAGGTGCCAAAAGAAACAACAAATAGTAAAAATTTCAAAATTTCTGGGCGAAAATTAAAACTCATAAGCATCAACCTGGTTGCTACAATCGGCTTATAAGTTTGAAACTCTTATTTTTCGCCCCTCCCCCAAAAAAAAAACCAAAAAATTCTTCCCGCATTTTTGCAATTTTTAAGAGTATTTACCATGAACGGGAAGGAAAACCAGGTCCACAATGAACAAATCATCGCATGTTATGTTCACACCACGCAATTCACTGCCCTCAGCCCATTTGACCATTTTTAGTACGCCATCATAGAGTCGAAATACCATAAGCTGAAAACGGTTGCATTGAATTCTTTCCGATCCTCTAATAAAAAACCGGTTAAAATAGGGAATTTTTTAACATTCTTCTAAAAAATGTTAAAAAATTGCGGCCGCTGGTGGGCCGCATAATCCCAGAACAAGTGGACGGTCCAAAGAAGACAAAATTAAGTTATACTAACAAAAAATGACTTGAAGCTGAACAAGAGAACTGAAAGAAAAAAATCGGCATACCCCTGAGGAATGTACGGCAGCTAGCATTCCGGTATCGGACGGTCGTCCAACTCGATCAGCGATTTGTCCATAGGCTCGTGTCACTACAGCACCAGTTGGCATCCATTGTATTACAGCCAAATGATATTTGCTTGTCAGAACTAATAAACTATCCACATTCTGAAATAAGAGAAATACAATAAAAATTTGACCAGTTTTTAGATAAACTCCTGAAATCCCCATTTTTTTTTGCAGCGCCAAGGAACACAATTCATAGAAACCACGATGCGTAGTTCACGATCATTATACGAGTCCAAAAATGCAAAATCAATGTCAGAGCTCTCGTGAACGAAACCACTTTTTCAAAAGTGTTGTGGACCCAGGAGGGAATCGAACCACTTCCCTTCACATACGGACGCGACGTGCTAACCACTACACCACCCCTCCCTGCGTTGCAATTCCAGCCTGGCAGCACACTTACTGTGTATCTTCTTTTTAAGACAGAGTACACCTTTCTTTTCTTCTCTGCCTCCCAGGGGCTAATTTCATCTTTTTCATTGTGGTAACTTTTTGGCCGCCTTTTTGTGGGTTTTCCACTCCAACACCTGCTTCTTTTTCAGCCATCCAAACCCGGGTCATGTTTGGTTTTATCGTGACTTTAAAAGCTGCGAGTCGGACTAGTGTGGGTGCCCTGATTGTATATATACAAATATATTTATAATTGTGTATGTGTGCGTGTGTGGTGGTGTGTAAGTACACAGAAACACCTAACTGTAGATGTACACATGCATATATACATGTATACATACATACACATATAATATATATTTATAATTATAGCACTCTAAAGCTATACAAGGAAAACTGCAACAGAAGGGCAGAATAAAGAAATGGTGGTGAGGTCCTAGGGAGCCAAAGCTCCTCGGACAGCTTCAATCCAGAACTTTTTTTTCCAGTCAAACTAGTCAAAACCAGTGTAAATCACTACTATCGTGTACCCAAGAAGTATTAGAAGTCTTTTGTACTTTTAGTAACAAAATTTCTCAAAAAAAAAAAAAAAAAAGCCGCCGCCGGTCTTGACCTTTTTTGTATATGAAACAGCCAAAATTTCCAGGAAAAAAAAAAACAAAAAAGAAGTCGCCGATGAACTCGCACCTCATCGTATCGTCGAAATATCTTCAAGCAAGCGATACGCCCGTATATTGGGCATTCCCGGAATGGCACCAGCCCATCTGGGGCAACCAGGAACAGCTGAATCCGATTTGCTGTGGCCAGCACGAACGAGATCTCTTTTGGCCGTATGAAATCACCAGCCAACGCATGCGTGATCACGGTGGATTTATGTGCCGTCACCACATAGTTCAGTGCCATCTTTTTCACCTAAAATAGAATTAAGTACGAAATGGGGACACTTACTCGCGCCCCAAATCCCCGGGGAATCTTGCCCACGGCCACTCCCCCTCTGGGGGACTTGGACCAGCGATACACTGGATTTCGAAGTTCTCCAACATAAAGCAGAACATTAGGATTTTCCCCGCGAAAACACTGGGATTTCTAGCAACAAAAAATCCCAGGGATCTTTCCCCGCAATCCATTCTACCACCAAGAAACTCCCCTGGGATATGAGAAAATTCAGAAAAAAGCTCGGAAAACCCGGCAAAACTCCCGCCACTCAGCGAAGAATTTTCCCCAGCAATTCCTGGAACATCATGGGGATCTTTCCCCGCAGTCAATTCTACCACCGAAAAACCTCCGGCAAATGAGAAAATCCATAAAAAAGCTTGGAAAACCTCGCAAAACCCCCATCACCCGGCGAAAAAATACCCGGAGAAGCCCAAAAAAACGCGTTACGTGCAACACACCATCACAAATTTCTCGGAACCGCCCTTAAATACAGTGCTGGATTATGTTAATCCAACAAAAAGCGAGCGTAGGCACGTACAAAATCAACCGATCCCGGGGAAAACTCCAATAATTACCGCCCAATATGCGTTATTCTGGATTTGGCACGGTGCCAATCGTCTCAGGATCCACCGTGGATTTCTGGGTTGGGATTTAGGGATTCCCGCAAATTTCCCCCAGGGATTCGGATTTCCCGGGGATTTTCTGACCAGATCCAACAGGGTGCGGGATTGCTAAACGTATTAAATATGGCACGGATGTGGGATCATCAGTACAGATATTCCATGCTAGTGATATTACGGGGACGCTCCAAAGCCATGCTAGGTCTCTCAATCCTAGGCTGCATATCTGCGGTTGGTATCCACGCAGATGTAAAACTAGAAATCAAAGAACCCAAAATCGTCCGGGATTGGAATACAGCCATTGTATAATACGAACAAACAGACAAACAAAATAAATAGCAACGCGCACCAAACTAGCCGGTGCGATCATGCGTTTTGTGCAATTCTGCCCATCGAACGATTGCCTATTAATGATTTTCATTGCTTTATACTTTTGTCTACGCAAAAATAGTTCAAAAATTGGAAAATAGTTAAAAATTTCACGCACCAGCGCAAGAAAGCTGAATT